AATCAGTATTTAGAAGTATTATTTGTACTCTTGTCTTGTCTAGCCCACTGCTCCACACTGCCTCCTACAGGTAAGCACTTTTATTAATTTCTTGTGCATCCTTACAATTTTTAAAATCACAGTGATGAGAAAATAAACATCTATTTGTCCCTTTCTCTCTTCTAACACACACAAAAAGGTAACCTACTATATATCCATAAACCGTCCTATTTTCACCTAACAACGTATCTTAGAGTCTTTCCATGTTGACTAAACATTAATAATAAATGGGGCTTCCCTGGTGGCTCAGAGGGTAAAGCGTCTGCCTGCAATGCGGGAGACTTGGGTTTGATCCCTGGGTCGGGAAGATTCCCTGGAAAAGGAAATGGCAACCCATTCCAGTACTCTTGCCTGGAAAATCCCATGAACGGAGAAGCCTGGTGGGCTACAGTCCATGGGGTCGCAAAGAGTCGGACACGACTGAGCGACGTCACTTTAATAATAAATGGCTTCCTCATTTTTTTTTTCTAGAAACTGCTCTATTAATGGCCCCCTATAGTACTTCCAAGCTGTTTCTACTATCCATTTGCTGCAATACAGAACACTGTACGCCCCCGCCCCCACCCCGCTGGCCTCCTAGCGGCCAGTGACCTGGGCAGGGGTGCAATCTGTGGAGATGTTTGGGGCAGGAACTCCACCTCTCGGAGCCTTTGGTGACAACACAACTGCCAAGCTCCTTGAGCGTATGGGCCAGGCGACCATGCACGCAGACACGTGCCGGGCACACGTCTGTGCTCAGGGCGAGCCCAGGCACAACTCCACCCCAGGCGCGTCCGGGGAGGGATGCAGGCCCTGCACCTGGATCCTGTGGTTCTGGGGAACCACCGGGGGAGGTGAGCAGTTGACCAAAGTGGGAAAAACCCGGGCTTCCAGAAGCTCCCTAGACAGCGCACCCTCCCCCGTCCTCTGGTCTCTGGGGGCATTAACTGGGTGCACCTCAGGCTTCTGCGCCCCAGTCTTGTGGGGGTGGGGTGGGGGTGGGGACAGCCCCCCAGGAACAGTTTCATTTCTCAGGATTCTCTCAGCTGAGAAAGAGCAGGGAGCAGAGCATGGCCCCCTCCCTCCTGGGGGTGGGGGGTGGGGGGCTGATATTTCCGGAGCCTCTAAGCCAAAGAGCCCGTTGGCTGTGGCAGATGGGGGTGGGGCCGCCCCACCTAGACCACCTTGGGGTGGGGGTGCCCCCACCCCGCCTGGCATCTGCATGAATGTTGATTGAGAGAAGGGATCGACTGCTGAACGCGGGGTCATCGAGGCTGGACCAGAGGCCAGTGGGTGCAAGTCTGGGCCACTGGTGGGTGATGCCATATGTCTGTCTACCTCTAACGGATGTGGAGCCGAATGCCCAGGCGCTGTGCCCCTCCCCGATGCCTATGTGTGTGTCAGTGGGGCCTGTGCCCAGTCCCACCCGCGAGTCTGCTGAGTCCACACAGAGAAGGTGCTATCCTGGTGCCCCCTCCCATATGCCCCACACTGCTGTCTCCTGGAAACAAGCAGTGACCAGTCCATTCACCTCACCTGGGTCCACACCCCCCTCACCACCACCTGTCCCCCGCCCCCCATGGTGATCACTGTACAACTTTTTTATTCACAAATGCGTGCTCCTCTCCCCTTCAGCCTTCACCTTGAAGGGTCGGTATCTTATTTGTCTGGATTCTTGGAGGCACCTCTGCGCATTTGTCCTCAGGTGGTCTTATGGATATCTTTCAAAAAATGGTTATACTATATGATTTGTCACAGAATTTATTCTAATAAATCATTCATCTATCATATGGCAAAAAAAAAAAAAAAAGAACTTTGTACCTACATCATTGAATATATATGTAGGAATATAGATGGGATAAATTCCAGAATAGTGCTTCAGCTTTACTGGGCTGAAGGGTGATAGGTATTTGTGCTTTTGTTTACTAGTGCCCCAAACACACTGTGACATGCCTTACTCCCATCAGCAATGCATGAGCATTCCCCTGGTCCATCAGCTTGCCACCAGAGTGCACAGTGAACCTGGATCTTTGCCATTCGCAAACATTTCAACCCAGGTTTCATGGGCAACTGATGAAACTAAATATGCAAAACCCCTGCACCCTATGATTTTGTGAGGTGAGATCCTAAGAGGAATTTGCTACTTAATTTGTGGCATCAACTGAAAAACAAAAATGTGGAATCTTTTTTCAAAAATTATGACGAATTTCAAGATGGTATGAGTAGAACATTAAGCCAAGTGTGTGGCTCCATGCAATGGCCCAGGCTGAGAACCTTAAACATCATAAAGAAAACGAGAGATCTTTGAGTAGACATTTACTTTACCAAAAACTTGATGTATGTTTTTGCACACTGCTCCATACAATACTCATATTTTAAATGACTTCAGTTCAGTTCAGTTCAGTCACTCATTCATGTCCGACTCTTTGTGACCCCGTGAACCGCAGCATGCCAGGCCTCCCTGTCCATAACCAACTCCTGGAGTCCACCCAAACCCATTTCAAGTTAAAGGATGTTCCAGAAAGGCATATTGTAGCTATCCTGTGGCCATATCCAGGTATTCCCCACACAGCCTGATGGGAGAACTCTAGCTGACATCTCCCAGGACTTTCCTGCTCCCAGACAAGCTTTTTAATACTAGTTACAGAAATACAGGGTCACCACTTTTCCTGCCTGAATAACTGCAATGATAGGAACTAATACCAAGTGGAGGTTGATATCAGGACGGTCATTGGAAGAAGATCCACTAGTCCAACTGGCACCTGATGTTTGTCTTAATTTCTGACCATACAATGTCCATGAGGGAGCCTGAGTTCTCCTTCCAAGGGAGGAGAGGTGACATATTCAGTGGGACCCTTAGTGCTTCTATGCTCTCAGAATGCTTGTTGTTAATGGTGTTGGGACCCCCAGGAATCAGTGTTGTTAGGCTAGAGATACATGACACCAGAGGAAATTTCCTGAAAGAAGTGAGCATAGTCCCTTCTGAAATAAGAGAAAGCAAGAAGAGTGGAGGGAGCCCTTTTGAGCAAAAGGAGTTTTGTGGTGAGCTATTGGGAGAGGGAATTTACTGAGATGCCAGATGCCATGTTAAGGCCCTTATGCACAGCATCACAAGGCCCCCTTCCTAGGGCTGCTCCCACAAACAAATAGCATCTGCAAAGGAAAGAGAGACAGACGGACAGAGAGAGACAGAAAGAGGGTAAGAAACCTCTATTCAAAGAGGCAAAGGGAAAAAAATAAAACTGAATGTCAAGCAATTTAAGACAAATATAGCCGATACACTCATGAGGATTGAGGCCAGAGGGAAGAACAATTTGCTCCTATGTCAAACTAATCCACACTTTCAGGTCGTTTCAGCATGTATCGGTGATGATCCAGCCGGCCCTGAGGTGTGCCTGAGTTCTCTGCTCTTTCACCCCCTCTGCTGGTGAAAGGAGTCCTCAGGTCAAAACTCCAGCAAGCCCAGGGAGAAGGCGAAGGAAATGAGATAGGTATTTTATACAGTCGTGCTTCTCAAACTTAACAGGCATGATGAATTGCCTGGGAAGCTTGGTAAAATACAAATTACTCGGTAAGTCTGGGCTTGGACCTGAGAGTCTGCATTTCTGGCAAACTCCCAGGTTATACTGATGCTTGGACCACACTTCTAATGGCAAAGCTAACATTAATGATATACCACCAGAAATTACCAGCACGAATACCCCTTCCTGAGGTTACCTAATTTCACAAAGAACTGATCTCTTATGGTGTTTAAACAGCTCTACATCCAACAGTGGGTCCAATCCACAAAGGGAACTGTTTAAGTTCATTGGGAATATTTCTATAGTTGTCTCTGATTTACTTCTGTGTAAGTTTCATCATGCCGTTGATTATATTAAGAGTGTCGGAATCTAGTTAGCAAAGGTTGCAAGGCTTTTTTTGAATGAAAGCAAATTTTTAGTTTAGAATATTGATTAATCAACAACACTCTCATTTCTGAACAGGAAGCTGAAGCATAAACAGAGTATGTGACTTGACTGAGGCCACACAGCTTATTGATAGCAGCCAGACTAAAATCTAATTACACTAACACTGGCTCTTGCTGTCTGTCCAGATCATTTCCCATTTTCCCATTTCTCTAAGGTGATCAGACTCATATCTGCTAAATCCCATAGATCATTGAAGTCTTAAGTGGCAGATCACAAAGCTCAGTAATATGACATATATGTAGTAACTCATTCTTTTGAAAATTAGTGTCCAGCTCACTTATCAATAGAGTTAGCCTTTAAATATGCACTGGAAGAAAAAAGAAATATTAGACCTTGTCTTATTAGCATGACCCATCTTGGATGTTTAATCCTCACTTTGTTTTATCTTTTCTTCCTGAATCCCATTTTAAACAACAGTCTTAATTGGTATTCTTAATTGAAAAGTCTTAATTGATATTCTTTAAAATTTCTCACCAAAGTAATACAAATTAATTTCATATAGTGTTGATGAGAAGATCCCTAATGTTTTGAGTGAGTGATTTATTATTTGGATAGATGAAAGAATGAATTGATTATTCTGTTAAGATAAATTCATTATAACTAAATAGCAAAGAAGGGCTTATAAGACCCTCAAATAAGGCTATGCTTTAAGAATGTTGGCCATGGACTATATAATTTCACATTCTTTTGTCTGCAACATAAAAATTCATATCAGAGTACTTAAGTGATTTTCATTCCTGATCAAGAGTGAAGGTGAATTTCCAAACTTCCCTTTCCATTCTAACCAAAAAAAAAAAAAAAGCAAGAGTAAATAAAAAGTTTCCTGGTTTCCGAGTTCCCACCCAATATAGGCTTATTATGCAGATGAGCAAAGTGAGTGGGTGAGTGAAATCGTTTGTAACAAAAACCCATTATTCACAGATGAAAAATTTATATTGTCAGCGTAATATCTGCAAGGCTCAACACCGCTGGAGAGTATATAAAGGCAGCGAGCTTTGGTGCACAACTACAGAACTCAGGACACTGCACACCCAAACGAGGGCTCACTCTCTCCACCTGCTCTGTTCCACCTCCTGGTGTCAGAAGGTAAGATTAATAATGAGTGATTGTAAGATGGCACATTCTGTTTAGGGTACAGTGAAGTGTTCGTAAGGGGGCGAAGTATTATGAATTAAAGTGCTGTTTTTTCAACTTATTCCTTGTTATTATAATATGCGGGGCAGAATTGAAATGAAGCGAGTCAAAGAAATAATTCAATGAAAAGATATGAGATAGAAAGAAAAACAAAGATTCAAATCAAGACACTTATTACAAAATTTAAGTAATGAAAATTGCATTGTAAAAATCAGTGGTGACATTTTGAAAAACAAATATTTTTCTTTGGATTCGATAAATGTTTATACTATTTTGAACAGAAGGCGCCTTTTAAACAGCAGAAATGTGCCCATTAGAGAGGTTATAATAGTAATTGATCCTTACCAGTGAAAACGTATAGTTTTCCAGAAGAGCAGTATCAACAGCATCATTCAAATATTCAAATTTCTGATAAGGCTATCAAAAAATCAAAGTCCATGAAATCAGTTCTTTGTAGATAAGACATAGCGTATTTAGGGCAGAGAAGAAATGTCATCAATTATTGGGAATTCTGTGGATGGAGCTGAGTAAAAGCACAGATTAATAATTACTATGTTTTGGGGACCAATAGTAATAAATAAACTATCTAAAATGTCTGCATTCCAAAATGAAATTTTAGTAAATACCTTAAGAAAAAAAAATCAGATGTTCTAAAGTACCTATTTAAGCTCTTAAGGACAAGGAACAACTTTACAAAGATCTTCAGTGAGAAAATGATTTCATGGTGTTTTTTGTGTTTGTTGGTTTTCACCTCTCCCCATCGGATTCAGGATCTTAGTTTCCCGACCAGGGATCGAATCTATGGCCCCTGTATTCGGAGCACAGTGTCTTAACCACTGGACCACCAGGGAAGTTCCATGTGGTGTGTCTTCTTCCACACATCCTAATTAATACCTGTGAGAAGAAATTATCTAGCCAGTTTTAAAAGAATTTATTTGGCCTATGGCACCAGTATACTTAGGGATATACTATATAATATATGTCACCTTGCCTAGATCAAAGATTAATCTTTGCAAAAGACTTCCTATTTAGGAAATAAGATTGGTACCACATCTCCTTTTAAATTTGAGTGGAAATATATAGGTTTTATTAAACTGCAGACTCTCTCTGTAGGCTAAAGCAGGGGTGGGAGAGTAATTGGAAAGTTTCTCCTTACTGAATGAGATTTTGAAACCAAAATGATGCAAATGTTTGCTTTCTCATGTAGCAGTATTCAAAAATCCTTATTCTTAAATATTTCACAATTCTGTTGACTTTTACACAGTGAATAAATAAAGTTTCAAAAATCAGTTACTTATTTGAATAGAAATATTCTACTGCCTCGGGAGGACTTCAAACACTGACTTCTGTATGGTTGTTTCTTATACCAGCTCTCCCAGAAACTACCTGCTCCATATCTGTCTCCAGAGAATATAATAGAAGATATTGTAAAAACCTTTAGGGACATTACATGAAAGCAATTATAGTTTTCAGTTGACTTTCCAACAATGATGTAATCCTAAAGAGGAATGTTTGCTTTAATTTTTTATGTTTCTGAAAATATGAATTTATAATTAAAAATTGCAATCAAAGACCCTGCCTATATATTTGGCAAGGTTTCCAAAGTTTGCCAACTGTATAAACTGAAGCATAGAAGCACACCAAATTAGCAATTGAATATTGGTGAATAAAGGATGAACATGTAATGCCTATTGTGTTGCTTTATCTAACTGATCATTGAATCTAAAAGGCAACATTTCAAAGGAAAAATAAAAATACCACTGCAGGTATTTACAGTCCTCATGTTTTAATGCCAAAGAAAGATAGGAAGTATGGCTAAGATGTTAAAGACAAGGTTGATAGTTTAAAATGATAATATTTGTAAAATACTCATTTCAAACCAAATGCCATTTGCTAAAAATACTCAGTCAAATTTTTAACAAATAAGCAAATAAGCATAATCAAACTTGGATTGAAATCCCCACTTCTCAAAGTAAATATGGTCGGACTTGAAAGAAGCAGAGGGAAGTTTACAACAAACACTGGAATTGAGGTTTTCATTCAGAAAGTAGAGGTGCTTGTCCTGTGGGGTCATTCTGCCCCACACTCATGCTGGTTCCACCCCACCCCATCCACAGCACCTCATCATGTCCTTGGCATCCTATGGCCTCACAGGGCATCTGCTTATGATGCAAGGTATCTTGCAACATGGTCTAGGGTGTCACTAGCAGTGAATGACACATCCTGGACTCAGTCCAATTATAAAACAACCTGGGGACTTCCAAGACTTCAGAAGCAAGCATTAATTTTCTTTATGACAGTGATCTCTTAGTTTCTTAGTTGTGATTGTTCAAGTTGCCAGAAGCATTAGTTCTTGTTGCAAATTGCTTGTCTTTAAAATGATTTTTTTCCTTTAATTTAGAACAGGTCAAAGCACCCTAAAATACCTCAAATCTGTTGGCCGCTTTATAATTACAAAGTCTAGACCAAGTTACACTATTTAAAATATAAATGAATAATACATCTGAACCGACAGCTGGTATGCCAAGTTGTAGCCTGAGGCTGCTTTAAGATGGTTGAAATGCAGTATAATGTAAACGCTTGGAAGTGAAGGACTATTAATTGAAAGCCAGACTGATAGTGAAGAGGGTGGGATCATGGATAAGGTGCCATTCAAGCTAACCATATGTAGCATATCATCTACAGTGGGTATTTTCAATGTTTATCATGGACATTTTTAATTTCAAGTCTGGAAATGAGCCTTCCAATTATTAACAGAAGTATCCTACACTAATGAAAAAGCTCCATAGTGCTACACATCTTTTGTATTCTTTTTAGCCACAAAAAAAAATCCTTCAAGAAAAGCATATTATAATATTTTAAATTAAGCTAAAAATATAATAAAAATAAAATTGATGACTAGTTTTTTCTTTCTACTCTCAATATTTACTTCGTCAAAACTGAACTAATTCACCTGGCATTTTTAAATATGGTTGAGTGTCTTTATATGTCCCCTGACTCTGTGTTTAAACAGGCAGCAAAAATGAAAAGCCTTTACTTTGTGGCTGGATTGTTTGTGATGCTGGTACAAGGCAGCTGGCAACGTTCCCTTCAGGACACAGAGGAGAAATCCAGGTATTAAATCTTTAGATTTGAACTAACATAGCACTATGCTTATAATACAGCCCAAGATAACTGTGACTAGTAAATAGGTCTCAGTAATTTGGAATAAATGCCCTGCACAGTTTTCAAATGTTTAAAGTATCAATGTGATAAAGGCTTTTCTGGAGTATAGATAGAAGTATGTTATTTCATAACCAAAGGAGTGGAGAATGTTGAAAAATATGATACATGGGAAATTATAGCTCTTTGAAATCTTTGGCTGAGCCTATATGTCCATTCATTACTCACACTGCATGGTAGATCATTTTAGTTATTCATACCAACTTTTTCTTTTTATTTATTTTAAAAAATAATATTGTTTCCTATTCATTGTAAAATTAGTAAGAAATTTTACATACACATTCATGATAGACAATATGCTTGTACTGTATGTAAATACATCCCAGGTCATTTACAGCTTTGCATTGTATTTTTTCTCTAAGAATTGTATTGTTATTTTTATAACATTACATATATCTATTAAATGTGTGATATTTAATTATTAGATATTATTTCATCTGATAAATGTACAATATTTATTTAGCTACCCCTCCTCTTTTAAATACTTAAGAGTTCTTCAAATTTTCCTAAAAAAGCCTGCCAATAACATTTTTCCTACATTTCTTACTATTTTCTGAGGATTTATTTCTAGTGGTAAAATAATTATGTCAAAGGATTTGAATGAGTTTAAATTTTTTATAATATCTTGCCAACTTGCTTTCCAGAAAACTAATACACATGCACATTCCCACTGGCATTATAGAAATACTCCTCTCATAATATCCTCCCCGGTATTTAATCCTTGCTAATTTGACAGGTAAAAATAGTATCTCATTTCTATTTTGAGTCTTAATCATATTGAATATTTCCCTACATAGCCATGCCAACCAACTGTTGATTATTGGCATGTGGATTATCCACTACATAGTTTCAAATTAGCAAGTGGGCTTTTTCTTTTCTTTCTCTGAACTTTTAATTGTCTTTCCATTAGCTGCCACATAACCAGGTGATGGAGCTACTTTTTTATAGTAATATATGCAAAACAGAATTTGGAATATAAATCTGCTGCCCAAACAAAAATGATTTGGGATGCTTCACTCTTTTAAAATATTCAAAGCGTGTTGCTCTCTTCTGGCATTATTAACATAATGAGTAAATGAATTTGTTGAAAAAAAGATTTATTTAATCCTATTTCAGAAAAAGAGAAGCCAGTTGAAAAATCAGTTGCTAGAATTCCAAATCAGAGTATATTCAACTCTGGTAAAACCATGGGATTCCCATGGCAAATGAAGGTCTTTCTGAACTGCCAACTAAAATGTTCGGGGAACCTGCCTTCCAGCTTCGTGTGGTTCTATATTTTGTAGAGAAGCTGCTTCTCAAGTGAATCTCCTCTTGAGGAGAGATGTAGTTGCACCTATCACTGTTCTTCACAGTTCATTTCCAGCTCCCCAGACCGGCTCGCTCAGCGATCCAGATCAGATCAATGAAGACAAGCGCCACTCGCAGGGCACATTCACCAGTGACTATAGCAAGTACCTGGACTCCAGGCGTGCCCAGGATTTCGTGCAGTGGTTGATGAATACCAAGAGAAACAAGTAAGAATTTGAACCTGATCAGAAATGTACACTCAAATGTATTACCTAAATATGTCTAAAATTCTTCCTGACTTTCTTAAGTTATCATACATATCAAATAATGCTCATAAACTCACTTGATTCTGATGACTTTTAAGCTTGGTGGTGGTAACCTCCGTATTATGCCTTTGCATGTCCCACACGTCACCCCTTCAAAACTCTTATCTACCCTCAAATGGGACATAGACTTTAAATAATTTTCCCAACTTTGGTCTTAGCAATATTTACTCTGTTGCCCATTTTACTTTAAAACTAAAAGCTGACTTTTATGAAACTGCAAGGTTAGGAATTTAATTCCTGACCAAAAGACAAGAGCAAATTCATTCTCTTGTAGGGTTCAAACTTATGACTATGATCACATTCAAAGTATCCTGTAGCCAAGTTCATCACGGTAAGGAATGGAAACAGATGCAGTCTTTTTCTTTTAGAATACAATCCAAGATACACATTAAAATTACAGCCTAGCAGCACAGCATAGAGAGAAGAAGGCACATAGGAACACGAGCCTATCGTAAGGCATACATTTTAATGTTGAATTTCTTTGACAGTGTTGGGGTATTTGCTGCAGGAGGCTACTGGAGGAAATCAGCCACAAGGGTTTCACAGGGATGGTGGAATTTCACAATTTCTTTGGAGGGTGGCCCATAAAGGGAGGGAGTTATGCATGCAAAGTAGATGAAGGAATCTAAAAATCAGGAAAAGGAATATATTTGTCCGGATAGAATGGAGAAGGGTAGAGAGAGAGAGAGAGAAACCAGCAAGAAGAATTAAAGAGGGTTGTTGACCAAAAATTCTTAAAGTGGAGAGTCAAAGAAGACACTAGAAGTTCTTGCTAAGGATTACAGATGGGGCTTCCCAGGTGGCTCAATCATAATGAATCCGCCTACCAATGCAGGAGACATAAGAGATGCAGGATCCGTCTCTGGGTCAGGCAGGTCCCCTGGAGGAGGAAATGGCAACCCACTCTAGTAATCTTGCCTGGAAAATTCCATGGACAGAGGACCCTGGCGAGTTACAGTCCATGGGGTCACAAAGAGTCAGACATGACAGAGTTACTGAGCCTGCATTGGTGAAACAGGAGAAATCGCAAATTTGAAAAAATGCAAACTGTCTTCATTTCTAGAGAGACAATGCCACAACTTGGGGAATGAATGTAAAATAATCCTAGCTCCCAGGCAGTTTCTGTTGTGTTTAAGATAAAACCTTCCAGGGCTTATATGTGATGGAGCAACTGACCATCTTTCTGGTCAACCCCTTCCATGGGGCATTCTGTACACACCTGAGAATGATGTAGGGTCATTTTCTTAGCTTTCCTCACTGCTAGCCCATCACACATTTCCTTTAATCCATTATCCTGTGGTCCTTTCAATGACATTTTGTGACACTCCTTTACTCTCCTTTGATTCAATAAACTAATTCTGACCCCATGTGTCGGGTAGGAAATAGAAATACACTCCTGTATTCCCGCCTGGAAAATCCCATGGACAGTGGAGCCTGGCAGGATACGTCCATGGGGTCACAAAGTGAGCGACTGAGCATGCACACGCGACTACATGTGTACCAATGACAAGCTGATGCTTTGTTTGCAAGTGGCATGGCACGGTAGCTAGCCCTCATGCTTTTGGACTGAAGTAAGGGCAGCTTTAAGAATTAATGACACAGACAAGCAGAAGAGGTGAAAATGGGTCAGTGGGTGGAGGAAGGGAGCTTAGCCTCCCTTAATTGTCATTAGACTGCCCCCATCAGCCTTCACTCCCGATAATTAACGCAGCTTTCTGATGAGTCCGCTATACACCCTCATCTCCCCAGATCTCCCTCTAAGCCCCCTCCACACAGAATCCAGAACCCGAAGCTGCCATTGCTTATAGGTGAGAACCATATTGCTAAAGAGACAGATCTTCAATTTAACTTTCACATTTCTTTCAGGAATAACATTGCCAAACGTCATGATGAATTTGAGAGACATGCTGAAGGGACCTTTACCAGTGATGTAAGTTCTTATTTGGAAGGCCAAGCTGCCAAGGAATTCATTGCTTGGCTGGTGAAAGGCCGAGGAAGGCGAGAGTAAGTCTGTACATTCTTATTTAATTTTTTTTTTTTTTTTTTTTGCTTGATGCTGAAAACTTAGATTACAGTTATCCATAAATGGATCTGCATTATGAAGCCATTAATATAGCCTCACAAAGTAAGGAAATAACTCCTGTTGGTGGGAGATAGTTTACAAAAGTTTTATCTCTTCTGTCTTTCAGAGCAAGTATTAATGATAGCGTCACACAGGTTACTATTTATCCCCCGGTATTAGTTGTATTAAAAGGTATTAATCTGCCAGTCCAGGATACTTTTGAAGATAAACAGAGTGCTTCTGATAACTACACCAAGAAAATAAGCTTTAACTAGGACTGTCCCAGAAAACAGGGATAAGGGACGAGAAGAAATAATGCTGAAAACTTAGTTTCATTTTAAATATTTACATAGTTTTTGTGTTAGTAAGTATTCAGGTAAAAATGTGATGAAGACAGGAAGGAACTAAAGATGTTTAATGAAATGGCATTCAAAACAAAGATGTGTGGAAACATTCGTCTATTTAACGATGTATCCGTTTTTTTATGAGACTACCATAGAGGTAATCATTAAATTATTATGGTTGAAAATGAGCCTAAGACCTTTAAGTACTTCCTTGCATCTTATCACAGCCAAACACACCCACCGACCAAAAAGACTGTCTCATTTTCTTGTGACCATTTTGATTGACTTTGATTTATGAAAATCAAGAAATTCATGTTCCACTCTATTTTTATCTTTAGTTATTTGGTTTTTGTTTTTTTGGGTTTTTTTGCCGTACCTTATGGCATGTGGATCAACCATGGATCAACCCAGGGCCCCTGCAGATGGAAGCACAGAGTATTAACCGCTGGACCATCAGGGATGTCTTTAGTGAGATTTTCAATAAGCATACTGAGACTTTAAGGAACTCTCAAGACAAAAGGGAACTAGTATTGTCACTGATTTTTAAAATAGCAGCAATAAAATTTATAAAATCAATCCAAAAATAGTCACACGAGATTATAGTGTTTTAAAGAGATACCAAAAATTCTGTTAAATAAACCAGTCAGAGAAAATATCTAATATAGACTAAGGTTTAATCCCTTAAGACTGTACTTGGCAAGGCTTTTTTGCTAATCATTAGTTTTATAGGATATACTATATTTTTCTAAATATGCAACTACTGCTGCTGCTGCTAAGTCGCTTCAGTCGTGTCCGACTCTGTGCAACCCCATAGATGGCAGCCCACCAGGCTCCCCCGTCCCTGGGATTCTCCAGGCAAGAACACTGGAGTGGGTTGCCATTTCCTTCTCCAATGCATGAAAGTGAAAAGTGAAAGTGAAGTCGCTCAGTCATGTCCGACTCTTAGCGACCCCATGGACCGCAGCCTACCAGGCTCCTCCGTCCATGGGATTTTCCAGGCAAGAGTACTGGAGTGGGGTGCCATTGCCTTCTCCACTTTCTGAATATAGACAAATCAATAGTTTCAATAATAAGTTCTGTGTTGACAATACACTAAACTCTTAGAAGCAGCTGGAATACAGAAAAGGGCTTTGTTTCAGGTCCTGGCTCTGCACTTGTCTACCTAATTCCCTATCTGTCATTCAAGTTTCTATGAGGCTTTTTGTAGTAAGCCCTCTGTAAATAGAAACATATGGTTTTCTCAGTGACCCTTACACAGGTTACCAGTGACAGGCAACCAATAAGCATTTCTTTGAAACGTTTAACAAAATGCTGATTTTACCCCTCCATTTCTCAGCTTCCCAGAAGAAGTCAACATCGTTGAAGAGCTCCGCCGCAGACACGCAGATGGCTCTTTCTCGGATGAGATGAACACCGTTCTCGATAGTCTTGCCACCCGAGACTTCATAAACTGGTTGCTTCAGACGAAAATTACTGACAGGTGACTGTGTTTTAGTTCATCCCTGAAACCTTCAAAACTTTCATAAATATTATCATACTGCTGTAGGTTGTTGCTACGTGAAGGAGAGAGTCTTTACTCTCTTGGTATACAATCAAAGTTATGAGTCATTCAAGAGTATATTATTATATTTATTTTTGATCATTACAATTTTATCCTTTCACTCACTGATTCCAAACACTTTTCCTGAATGTTGGTAAGGGACAAGTCTTTAGGAATACAGGTATGGAGATGTTAAGCTGGTCATATATTAATAATATTGCAAATTTCTGTGTATGTTGAAATTTTAGCACAAAGTAAAATACCAGTATAAGTGATATTTAAATACTTAATGCAATAAGTATAGCAGTAAAATTTAAATGCCAAGATTAAGAGGCATGTAATAGCTTGGTTTAATTACTTTTTATAATTATCTGTACACTTTATATTTCTCGCTAGGGCCAAGTTAGGATAAGCCATCTTTGAAGGTAAATATTTGAAGAGTTCAAAACACAAATTGATGCATAAAATGAGAAGATGAACAGCCTTTATCAAAATAAATCATTGAAACATTTTCTGGCTAAATTAACTATCATCTATGTATTATACTATGTTAAATAATCATATCTCTTTTTTTTTTAATTTCTAGGAAATAAGTGTGTCATTCATTAATCAAGATCATCTTCACAATATCACCTGCCAGCCATGTGGGATGTTTGAAATTTTAAGTTCTGTAAATTTAACAGCTGTATTCTAAAGCCATATTGCTTGCATGCAAATAAATAAATTTTCTTTTAATATTGTATAACCAAAAGATTATAAATCAAATACACCATTGTCAAAATAATGCTAAAATATCAGCTTTAAAATATGATAATTCAGAATTCTCTTTCTTTTCTTCTGCTAACCTGCTTAGCAATGAAATTATTTTTCTGTGATATAATTTGTATATATAAATCACTCCAATCACAACATATTTGCATTATGATAAGATAAGGGGAAGGACTGGTAGCCACAGTTGTGAAACGGGAAAGAGAATTTTCTTCTTGAAACTTTTGTCATAAAAATGCTCAGCTTTCAGTATATAAAAGATAGACTAAATAAAAATTTCAAGCTTCTTCATCAATGTCTGTCTTCTGTCTTCTTTAGGGTCCCACTCTTTCCAAATACCCCTGCTTCCTAAATTGGTAAGCCATAAACCAAATCTGATGCACAGATATGGTTTCATGGTTTAAATTGCTGCACAGTACTTTAATGTTTTCAGCCAACATCAAAAAACCAAGGTATTTTATATTAAAATGTTGAGTTCTCATATTTCTTAAAAAATTAAGTCATCAGGCAATATTAGACCCACAAACCAAATCTCTTCTAAAGATGTGTACCAGTAGCCTCCTTCTAAAAGGTCACATGATTTTCAACTCATTATTGTGCCCCCTACACACACACACACACACACACACACACACACACATATCTGTGTATGTTACACAGTTACATTCAGGTAATATGCATAAGTAGCCACTTTCCCCCGCCCACTTTATTTTTATATCTTATTTGTCTGGCACCTGCAGACATTTAAGTTTGTCTATCATACCTTGTACTTTTATCTCCCTGTCCTGCAATGTCCAGTATTTTGGGCCAGTCTGGTGCTCATTGTCATGTTAGGGGTATTTTTTTTCTGTATACAGACAATGTTGCCAACTCTCTTTCTCTCCTGTATTACATAGAGATAATAATCACATAACATTGTGTATGTTTATGGTGAACAACTTGTCAATCTGATGCGGTTGCACTCTTGACACCAAAAGTTAAAACTCAAGCAAAAAATTACTAAGGAAAAGAAGGACACTTTAAAATGCCAAGTGTTCTGAATCATAATGAAGACCTATAACAGCTGTCAATATTTATGCAGCCAATAACACACCAACCACTTTCATAAAACAGACGCTACATGAGATTCAAGAAGCAATAGAGATAAACTGATAAAAGGAAATCTAAACTCTTTTCCCTTAACACAAGATAGAGTCAGGAAAACAACAGAGACCTAAATAGCATAATCAATAAGATAGATCTCATAGGCCTAAACTGAACTATAAATTCTGATAAAGGAGGATACCCATTCTCCAAAATGCAATGAAAAAGTCACAAAAATTGACCACATAGTTGGCCACAAAGAAAACCTTAGTTATACAAATAATTGTACAAATTTCTAAGTTTGTAATCATTCAGATCATAGCGAAATTAAACTAGAAATCAAAAACAAAAGATAGCTTAAAAATTTACAACCACTTGAAACTGGGCAATCACTTCTAAATAAACCATGGATCAAAGACATCATAAAAGAAATCAAAAAATACTTTTGCATCCTATTATAATGAAAACACAATACATACATATAATTGATATAAATAAAACAATATTTAGGAATAAAATATAGCTTTAAATGTATTTGTTAGAAAAGAAGAAAATTTGAAAATCAATAGCCTAAGGTTTTTTTTTTTTTTAATCAATAGCCTAAGTTTTTAACCTCAAGAAGTTGAAGGAAAAAAGGACAGCAAATTTCAAAATGTAAAAGAATTATTTTAAAAAATATAAGAGAAAATGGGGGGGGGATCAGGATGGGGAATACATGTAAAGCTGATTCATGTCAATGTATGACAAAAACCACTACAATATTGTAAAGTAATTAGCCTCCAACTAATAAAAATAAATGAAAAAAAATAAAAATAAAAAATATAAGAGAAAATAATAAAATGGAGAAAATTTGGCACTAAAAATTAGCAAAGCCAAACCTAGTTCTTTGACTAGATTAATAAAATTAATAAACCCCTAGCAAGACGAGGCAAAAAAAAAAAAGGAGGAAAAATTACAAATATCTATAATGAAAGTGGGCCTTTCTAAAGAGCTCTCAAACAATAAAAGAATAATAAATATATGGCACATAAAAGTAATATGCCTGGTAAATTTGACAATTGAATAAAATGAACAAATTCCTTTGAAAAATGTTACTTAAATAGACATAAATCAGAAGAAAATCTTAATTGTCCTCTGTTATGGATGGAAATTGAATCTGTTATTTTAAAAAGTTTTCCAGAAAAGAACTCCAGGCCCAGATGGCTTAACAGGTGAATTCTTCTAAACATTTAAGGAAGACAAACACCAATATTACCTAAGTTCTTCAAAATAAGTAGCAAATAAAAAATATTTTCCAGGTCACTTTATGAGACCAGGATAACCTTGATGAAAAATTCAATGAAGATTTTATAGAAACAGAACACAACAGATCAATCTGACTCATGGACATAGGTAAATAAAATTCTATACAAAACACTGATGAATCAAATCTAGCAATATATACAAGAATTACTACAACAAATTAGAAATTACTGCAAACAAATAAGAAATAAGTGAAAACAGCAATATATAAAAATGAATTGGGAAACAACCATTGAAACAGATGAAATTTAAACAAATGTTAGACTGTTGAGAATGTCTATGATATATTAACATAAAATATATTTGAAAACCTAGAAAAGATAGATAAAATTGAAAAGAAAATGTAATTTGTAAAAACTGACACTAGTACAGATATAAGAGCTTAAATAAACCAATTTTCATAGAAGAAATGGACAAAGAAATCAAAGAACCATCTCATAAAATATCACCAGGTCCAGATGGTTTTGCATGGAAATTTTATCAAACTTCCAAAGAAGCTGGTAGTCACAATACTTCATAAGTTATTCCAGAAGCTAGGGGGAGAAAGAAGAAAAAGAATTTCCTAAGTCTTTTTATAAAGAGAGCATAAAATTGATACCTAAACTTGATAAAGATAGAAGGAAAAAAAAACAGAAAATTATAAGCTAATTTCACATATGAGGCTGATTTTAAAATCCTAAAAATCCCAGAAAATAGAATTCAACAGCATATTAAAATTATTAGATAGCTGTACAGCAACCAACACAACATTGTAAAGGAATTATCTTCCAATTAAAAATAAATTAAAAAAATAATACACTAGGTTTAAATTTAGTTTATTCCAAAATTATCCAGAGTGGTTCCATATTAGAAAACCAATTACTGTAATATACCATATTAAGAGATCTAAAAAGAAAAAGTTTATCATTATCTCCACACAGGCTGCATATAAAAATATAGTAACATAGAATTAAAGTGTTGGGCTTTCCTGGTGGCTCAGACAATGAAAAATCTGCCTGCAATGCCGGAGACCTAGGTTCAATCCCTGAGTCAAGAAGATCCCCTGGAGAAGGAAATGGCAACCCACTCCAGTATTCTTGCCTGTAAAATCCCATGGACAGAGGAGCCTGGTAGTTTACAGTCCATGGGATCGCAAAGAGTCGGTCACGACTGAGCGGGTTCACATGGTCATTTTACTTCACTTAGTATGATAATCTCTAGGTCCATCCGTTGTTGTAAATGGCATTATTTCACTCTTTATGACTGAGCGATATTCCATTGTATATATGTACCTCATCCCCTTTATCCATTCATTTATTGATGGATTTTTGGGTTGTTTTCACGTCTTGGCTATCATGTATAGTGCTTCTGTGAATATAGGGGTGCATTTATCTTTTCAAATTACAGTTTTATCCAGATATCTGCCCAGGAGTGGGATTGCTGCGTCATATGGCAACCCTTTTTTGAGTTTTTTGAAGAACCTCCATGATGTTTTCCATAGTGTATGCTCAAGGCTCTTATCTTAAAGCAATCTCCTGTCCCTTGAGGGTGGGGACTGCAATCTTCCTTTTTTCTATGAGATGGAGGCTTCTAGAGCCCAGAGGACTGGCCTGGGGCACGGGTAGAGCCTCACTGTCAATCCAGCCTGGCATANGGTACACGGTACAGTATTGTTAACAGAAAGTGAAGCTTAATTGCTTGAGTAACTGGTCCTACTACCCAAAGGACATGCCAAAATTCTTCCTTCATATTAAAACTGTAAATACAAGGCCAATGCCTTCATAACTCATTAAATCTAAGTAACTGGCAGTTTGTAAGTCACTGAGAATAAATTTGAATGCTCTCAGTAATACATGTAATGCATTATGTTTGCATCACTGGATTATTCAAAGGATAAAGGACTATTTAAATTTTTTAAAAAAAGAAAAAAAATTCAATTCATAAGCATAGATTTGTTTCCAGAAGTATTAGTGTAATTGTTGGGGAGGAAAAATGCTACCCTGTACCCTTCTAAATTCTTCTGGCTTCCTAGGTCTACGGGCTTTCCATGTGGCTCAGTGGTAAAGGATCCGCCTGCCAATGTAGAACATGCAAGTTTGATCCACAGGTCGGGAAGATACCCTGGAGAAGGAAAAGGAAACCCACTCCATTATTCTTGCCTGGGAAATCCCATGGTCAGAGGAACCTGGTGGGTTGCATGGGGTGGCAAAGTGTAGCATGGCACAATTAAATTAATAGGATTAACAGGAGAAAATCAAATGATACATTCAAGAACCCCACATATATAAAAGGGTCAGAGACTCCCACATACATGAGAGATTCTTGGTAATAATTCTTTTACTGGAGAAAATCTCCAATCTAAATTCTTCTAGCTAGTTAAGGAAGGGACAATAGTTTCTCTTGAAGGGTCTCTATTGCCTTTAGCTCAAAATAACCCACATGCTAAAGTAGCACATGTTGGGGAGTCCTACTCTGAATCCTTATATAATAATTCTGAGACTGCTAGGAGAGAGACTCTTTAAGGGAATGCATCTTTATTGACTCCTGGGCTATTGTCAGCAGACTCAGAGCCTGGTCTGGACAATGGCAAAAGTGTTACTTCATGATTCAGTGAAAGCCTCTCTGGGATGCCTCCATTTAGAGATAACCAGGTCACATATATTGATGATGGTCACTTATATGCCTCTGCAAACACACACACACATGCACACACACAAACACCAAAAAGATACTGTAATACTGTAACAACATTGCAGACTCTTTATCCAAATTGCACGTTTGTTCCAAGTCCTCATGAGCCACATCTCAGAGCATCAGACACAGCCTCAGAAACAACTATTCCTTCAGAGACAAGACACCCACTAGTAGAGTTAGCCCACATCATATCAGGCCTTTGGGGAGTGACTGGTGGGGCAAACAGGCACAGCATCT